TTTAAAAATGTAGTTTGCATTTTCTCTAGAAGTATAAATCAAATTTTAGTTTACGACTTGATTAAAGAAAACGCATTCTCACAAAAATTATTCTTATTCTTCTCTAAGAAATACAATTTTTGTTTTTATACATAAAGTGTTATCAAATATGGTTCTGTATCCTACGGAGATAAGACTGAAGCACCAATAAATCTATTTTTATGATTCTCTCTCATATTAAAAAAAAAAAAAAGTAAGTCCTTCTTCTATGAAGCCCACATCATCGTATCCACAGGCCTCCTTCCATGCTTAATTCTGGGAGTTTCAACCAATCTCCTGGGAAGAATCTTCTTTTTCTCTAATTTGCTTAACATTGGAGCCCAGACTTTCTTTCTAGTCGACTGCTCCAGTATCGCTCGGCTCAGGTGTAAGGGAAATTCAGTTGCATAGGCAATAGGTTTGTTAGGCCAGACCTACGTAATTGCTGCTGTGTCTTCAGCCAGCCTTCCGGGGAAACACGACTTAGCACAGTCATGCAACCAAGGTGTTATGTCCTATGTGAACACATGTGATGACACTTTCCCATGGCATGTCGCCACTATTGTTCTGACCATATATAAGTGCTCTCATGTTCTCGGCCATGCTCTCACCGCAGCTGCATCCCCCAATAATAAAAAGCATGTCTCATCTGCTCTGTGCAGATCTCTTCTTTCAATTCCAGGAAGCCTGCTCTGGTGCACTCGCTAGCCACAGAGCCCACTCCCCACAGCCGGTCAAAAGCCTTCAGTGTCTCCCTGCTAACAGAGTAAACTCCAACCTCCTTCAAGCCTTCTTAGCTGCATGCAGGCCTCTCCACCTCCATGCCCCAGCCTGCGCTCCCAGCACCTGGCTCCTGCTTGCTCCTGGATGTGGCCTTTGCCCCATACCTCTGCTTCCCTGCCCATGCTTTACCCTCCGTTGGGAATGACCTTTCATGCTTCACTTCACCCACCAGTCACTATCAACAGCCTGCTCCTTCCTCCTCAAATCCCCCTAAACTGGAATCCACGCCCCCCCACCTCTTGCCCTTGTTCTGCTCCTTTCCCAGGGCACTTAAGGTTTTGGGTCTTACGTGTTCATTGCATAGGCTCCTTCCAGCAAGACCTGCAACTCTTCAAACCTGAGCCCCTCCTGCTACCTCCAAGAGCACACAGCATAGTGGTCTCATAAAACAGCCTTTCAACATGATATTTTCTTAGCCAGGCACTGGCTGTGACAGTATAACAAACTCTTAGGAGCTCAGGCTCTGATAGGAGAACACCTAAATTCAAACCCAGCCTCTGTTACTTACCAGCTACAGGATCCTTCCTGTGCCTCCGTCTTCTCATTTGGAAATGGGCGTAAAAATAAAGCCTGCCTCTTAGGTCATTAGAGAATTAAGAATTTAACCTGTGTTAAGTGCACAGCACAGGCCTCGCTAGTTAACTACTCTATTGCTGGCATCACTCAATAGATGCTAACTGAAAGCAAAACAACTTAGATCTACATAAGTATCTTTTAAAATACAACCTTTAAATCACAAGTTAGAAAAATTATTTGATAATAGAATTTTGATGAAATAACTAAAAGCTTATAATTTGCCAGTTACACTGAGGATTATGACATTTAAAAAATCAGATAAGTACCTACACATTAAATAGGGAATCCCTTTGGAGAGGACATGTTGCAGGTGGACCACTGATTATCAGGAAGACTCCAGACAGATTCAGGGCAGGATTTGATGGTTTTCCCAATTTTTCAGTCAAGGAATTGAAAATGAATCTCAATTGAAAACAGCCAAGCAGAAGCAGCAACTGAAAGATCTTATTTGGTGTAACATACCAGGGACCTCAAAGTCTCCAGGGGGAATTCAGCCCAGGCCATGCTGCCATTACAAGGTTTTCAGATCAGGGTTTATTTCTGGATGGGCCACAGCCCTTTTATGTCAGAAAGAAACAATGTAAAACAAATCAAACACTAGCTGGCTTGAAAACATCTGTGGTTCCAATCCCATATTAAGAAAAAGCCAAAATCCTTCAAACTCTCTTGACTTTCAAGATCTTCTAGGATCCTCTCCTGCCCACCCTATCCCCTCAGTCCCTTCCTGTCCCACACCTCACTATTCCCCATTGGGCTCCCTCCATCCCACCCACACTGCCCCCTGCCCCTGGCCACTTCTGGAATTTGACAGCCTGGGTCCTGCCTCAGAGCACTTGAATAGGAGAATTTCCCACCTTGGAGAGATTCCTCAGATATCCACACAGCTCCCTCCTTCAACTCAAGTTCTCACTCAAATGCGCCCTATTCCATGAGGCCCTCCCTGGTCAGCTGATGGAAAAGTGCACCCTCCTCATTCCTGGCACCTGCCTCCTTACTTTTAATCATCCAGCGCTCTGTATTGATTTTGTTTTCTTTTATTTAGGTGTTGTCTCCTCCAACCATGACATAAGCTCCACAAGAGAGAGCTTCCCTGCGGTCACTGTAAGAGCATTATACCCAGAACAGTGCCTGACATGAAGTGGACACTTGATAAATATTTGTGGAACAAATGAACCAACAACAGATCATGGGGCAGCTTATTAACAACCTGAAAACAGTCAAGGTGGAGCGCAGTTTGTGTTGTTTAAACTAGGTCTTTCAAAAAATATTCCACCTTGTATTTTGAAGGGTATGTTTTGAAAAATGCATTAGTTGAGGTCAGTGGTTCTCCACTGGGAGTGATTCCCACCCACCCTTCAGGATCTTTGGCAATGTCTGTAGGCCTCTTGGGACGTCACAGCAGCAGTAGGTGGGCAGGTGCTACTGCCATCTAGCCTGTAGAGGTCAAGGAGACTGTTGGACACTCTGCAATGCACAGGAAAGCTCCAGGTAACAAGAATGTTCTGGCCCCAAATGTCAAAGTTGAGAAATTACAATTAAGCTGGAGGCAATTTCTTAGATCTGCCAGGGAAGGTGGGAAGGGAAGGGAGGGAAATGGAGGAAGGAAGAGGGGAGGAAAAAAGGAGAGAAAGAAAGAGAGGGGGAGGGAGGAAGAGAGGGAGGAAAGAAGGCAGGGAGGGAAGGAGGAGGAGGAGGAGGGAGAGGAGGGAGGAAGGAAGAAGAAGGAAGGAAGGAAGAAGGAAGGAAGGAAGGAAGGAAGGAAGAAGGAAGGAGAGAAGGAAGGAGGAGGAAGGAGGGAGAGAGGAGGGAGGGAGGAGGAGAGGGAATGAGGAGAGAGGGAGGAAAGAAGGAGGGAGGAAATGGGGAAAAGGAGGAGTAATCGGGAAAGGAGGGAGAAGGAGTGAGGCGAAATGAGGAGGAAGGGAGGAGGAAGGAAGGAGGGAGAGAGGGAGGAGTAGGGAGAGACAAAGCGAGGAGAGAGAGACAAAAATGAGGAGGGAAGGAAGGGAGGAGGGAGGGACAAGAAAGGAGAAGGAGGGAGAGAGGAGTGGAAAATGAGGAGGAAGGAAGGGTGTTGGGAGGAGGAAGAAAGGAGAAGAGGAAAATGAGGAGGGCAAGAAAAGGGAGGAAGGGAAGGAAGGAGGAAGATGAGGGAAGGAAGGAAGGAAGGGAGGGAAGGAAGCCGACCAGCACAGGAGCAAGCTAAGACAATTATTGGTAATATGAAAAAACACAAATACACAAGACCTATACACACAAAACTAGACAGGCTTTTTAAAAAATACCAAGCGATGTTCACCTAGCAAGGAATAAAATGTGCTACTAAGGGATTTATTCATAAAAATAAGAGGAGAAATGTCAGCAAAAGAAAAGAGAGGAGGAAACTGGATTATAAAGGAGCGTCTTTGCTCAAAGTCCCTTCAGACCTCTCTAAGAGTGTGCCCCACATCCTTGTTACATGTATTCTTGCAGGAATAACTGACAAAGTTGTAATAAAAAAGGGGGAAATCCCACATTACCATCTCCTACGCTGTGAGCCGCGCGGCCCGATGCCGATGGCTCGGAGCATTTGGCAGGAGCCGGCTGCTCGGGGGAGCAGATGCTCCGGGCAGGCTCTTCGAGGAACATCAGGGATACGAGGACTTGGGGAGAAATTAACCAAGCGAGCAAAAACAGAAGAAGAGATATTAAGAGGTACAGCATTCCTCCCTCTGTAAACATCGTGCGAGCTAGACTAATCTCCCGGTTAAATTACGAGAGTGCTCCATCCACAAAACGCACTAACAGCTTTGGAAAAATGTATCTTTTGGAAGAAATAAAGTCTCATTGGCCGATAAAGCTGTAATAAGTCTACAACAACTTGTATTAATGGTTGGATGAAAAACTGAAATTCTTCTAGAAGAGTACATTTGGTACACACATTAATGTCCAATTAAGAGGTGAATCTGGTCTCTCCCTTTCTGCCCATATTAAGGCATTCTTTGATGCTTTCTCTCCTGACTTTTGTTAAGTGTTTTTTCATCCAGCTTTTCCCTTTTTGTTGATCCTGGTGTATTATTTTTTATAATAACTGGACTGCCAAAACACTCTTCCCTCTTCAAGAGAGGCTCTGTGCTATCTTCCACAAAGCACTTTTTGAAACTTAAAGCAAATGTGGCTACTAAAAATACAAATAGAATTTCCAGGAAAATGGTCTTTTGTAGTCCTGAGAACAACTGTGCAGTTACCAACAATTAATCTTTGCAGAAAGGTGCAGCAAGGAGGTATAAAGAAATACATGTGTGTGTGTTTTTCATTAATAAATGTAAAAACAGTCAAGGATCTATATTCTTGTAAATAAATAGAAACTCCCATCTTAGATGGAAAGACTGAGAGTGAATTGAAAAACCAGTCAAAATGTTTGGGTTGGTTAAATCAATATCCAACTGACACAAAAAATTATGTCTCTTTGTATCTGAAACTGCCGAAGATACTGGGTAAGAGTAAAGAATAAAACGGTCGTTTCCTGATGCATTGAGGAGAATTTCTTTTTTCCCCTAGACTAAGATTCAGCAACTCCAGACCATAGAAACTCATCACCTGTAAAATGAGTCACAAATTGTTTATTAACAGAGGGAACTTACGGATAGCAAGGGAATGGCAACTTTTCCAAGAAAATCAGGGGGTTTATCTCCGTCTTCATCAAACACTGTCACTTCCAAAACATCATGGATATCTTTAATGGGACTGAAACAAAAAAGTACCATGTATTATACACAAAAACACACAAGTGGAGTCTGTTCCATGAAGATCTGAAAACACTGTTTCACTAATTAAGCCTGTATGTCCTTAGAGTATAAAACTACCATTTAATTAAATTCCAAAAATTAAATCAAACTGACTGTATTCCCAAACCTTCCATCACAGAAGATTTAGACATCCATATGAAAAAAGAAGTCAACTTTTTTACTGTGACATTTTCCACATAGCACACATTTACTCAAGGGTAGGATGGTGAAGGAAACCAAATGAAGAAGGAGAAGGCAGAAAGAACAAGTGGGTCAAAGCAAAGTGATCTCCAGGAAGCTTCCAAATGAGAAGAGTAAAAATAACATTTTCTTTAAATGAATGAAGAATTCTCTTTTCTTTAAAAAAAAAAAAAAAAGGTGGTGAAAATCACTTTTGCTGAAATACATAGAAAGCCTCCTATTGTTGAAACACAAAATACTAAGAACATTTAGAAACACGGTTTTATGTTGTCCAGAAGACAGACCTCGGCAACAATGAAAAAGGAAGCCACCTCGGCCATTGGCCATGTTTTAGGAAAACAAGAGAAATTTACATCTGGCATTTGGCAAACTTGTTTAGCAGAGTTAACCCACTTCTCATAGATCCGTGGGAACTTTCTACTAACACCATTAACTGTATGCAAAATGAACTTTGTTTTTTCACTTATAAGCACAGAGGGAGCATTTATTCAGCCTAGTGGGGGCCGTGTACCACCACCATTCCACCCAACTTCAACAGGGGCTTCCACTGATGTTTAGGTGCTTTGGAAGCTAAAGAAAACTAGGAAACTTAAATATATCCAGCCTCCTAAGTCCCTGAGTTCAATAGAGTGGGCAAGGCATCACTATGGGGTGGATCACTGAGATAAACTGAAATATAAGCAGGCTTTGGGAGTCTTTAAGGATGCACAGATAATCTGCATTCATCCAAAAGACTCTGGCAGAATACAAGCCTTCAGGCATTAAAATAATGCTATAACATATAAGCTCCTTGAATTTAAGGCAGGTCTCCATTAGTAACTTTCCTTAACCCAGGAATGAATTAATCTAGATATATGGAGGCTTCCAGCTACTCACAGATTAATTTAGTCACTAAAACATCTACTTTACAAATGCCTCCTATAACACTCCTTTGCAGTTCTGAATGGTCTCTTCTATTATTAACACCACACTCTATAAAAATGAAAGGATAAAAGGTTTTCAGAAGGAAAAAAACAATAAAATTCACTCTTTGCCCATAAAAATAGACAGAAAGTTCCACTCAAGCACCCCAGTCTGCCCCAAACATAGCAGGGATAATTGCTCTCTAAGTTAGCGCTGTTCCTCGGTATTCCAGAGGCTAAAACACTTACAATGTAAAAACTTTGTTCCACTCAGGGTTGAGGTTCTTGTAAATGGTATGTGTCTGAAGTCGGTCGTTGCCTAACTCCAACAAGCAAAAAGGATCGCTCTTTCCTGGAAAGAGAACACACACATTGGTCAAAGACGAGTGAATCTCAAAATGGACAGAGTCAATGGGAACAAAAGTCATGCACTTTTACAATTAAAAAATGCTTCTTGCTGAAAGAGGGAAGGTGAGACTCCTTTTCAAAAAGCTCTGTGGATCCCCTGTGTGGGAATCTGAGAGGTGGGCAGAGCCCCCAAGTGCTGGAACTTTAGCATTCATGATGGACTGGGACTCATACGCCACCTAAGATGTAGCCTTGAAAGCCAGTGACCACACAAAGTTTCACAGGAGTAGGTGTCAATCTGGCAGGTGGGAAAGCTCACTTCATTTTGTTTTAAAAACGAAGCTCATCTCTGTTTCCTTCCTAAATTCTCTTTCAGCCAATCTGGAATGACTGGAATCCTATGATAACTTACACGCTTCCCCACAGCTATGAGAAGATGTGAGAAAAAGTATAAAAATGGCTCTAAAGGAGTTAAAGCTCTGCTCCTGAGTGAATAGCTGCATGATTCTACACATGCAGTACGTTACGAGAATGCATGAGCTACATTTTGGGTGCCATGAAATAGAAAAAGGTATAATTCAATAAAGGTCAGAGTTTTTAACTTAAAAAAAATTAAGCTTATCCCTTACTTCTCCCTACCTCATCTCTTGATTTTCTATCCTATCTCCCACATTCTTCAAAAGAGGTAAGAAAATTCCAAATCCAAAGTTGGACCCAGAGAGTTACCAAGTACAAATTTACTTCCCTTTTGTTGGTCTTGGCAGAGGGATCTAGAATTGGAACTGTCAGAGACAGAATGAATGAGTCGGTAATGTCTGTAGGACATTAGCGCATTGCCTGTCTCCACAGCACGTTGGCACTTTACAAAGCAGTGCTTGCTAAATTGATTGGGGGCACAAGGACACATGCTTCTCCAACAAATGGCCAAGGAGTCTCGGGCCAGGGCCTAAGGCAGAGAGTGCTCAGGTCTCTTAACCAACTGGCCTCCCATTCGGGTCACTGAACCAACATCTAATTCACTTAATAACCAGGAGCTCTGAGGCACTGCAAATCAGTAGAGATACCGACATGTGCAGGAGCTTGCCTGAAGAATATATTTTTTGAAAAGAGGGGAAGAAGATCAAAGGCATGGGTGATGGTCAGTGTTAAACAGGAGATTGCATTCAACTGACTATGGCCTGGACACTTAGTTGCCTGGCCAAAGCTTTTAAGTCAATGCTATTATCTCAGTGACCAGCTGACAATGACCAAGCCATGGGCATCAATGAATGAGTGAGGGTTCTCAACTGCAAACAATGGGAATTGTCCCTGTCTAAATTTAGCAGAAAAGAAATTTAATAAAGTAATATCAAACAGCTCTCAGAATACCTACAAAGGCTAGAAAATCAGGCCAAAAAAATCACCAAAACCAAAGAATATGTAGGTACAAGAAGTCCTGCGAATATTCCATCCCAGGAAAAGTCTGGCGTGGTCTCTGCTTTCCCAGAATACTGGCCCCACGAGGCACTCCTGCCCCCGGCCCGACTGTGGCTGTTTCTGATGTGAACTCTCTACCCTGCTTCTTTCTTTGCCTCACTCTATGCAGATGCAAAGGCCTGAACTGCTAGGGCTCAGGAAGGGAATCCTGGCTTTTCAGCCTTCACGAATTACAGTGGGCTCTGACTCCTTCTCTAAACCATACAATGGGAAGTGCCTCAAACACAGAAGGGGCTTTGGATCCCTGGGCAGTCAAAATCAAACTAACACAAAAATCTACCTGCGTTTGCAAAAAGTCTTGCTTATTTAAAGACAGGTTACTCTGGCCATCTGTTTTGTAGGGCATAGGGCTGGGGTTGAATGGGAAAGAGCCTGCCAATGTAGAACAACAGGCTTCCTCTGCAACAACTGTGAACGTGCAGAGAACACGTGCATTCGGCTTAATGCTCAGGTATACCACGCTTGATTCCTCAACCCAGGCTGAAACAGCTACTTAACCATTTGTCAGACTATTAGTAGGTGTCAGCACTGCTCCTCCAGAGACACCAACATGACATGCCATCAGCACTTGCTCCAGGGAAACTGTCTGACACTTTTAATGAAAGCCCTGGGGTTGCTCCGCAGCAGGGCAGAGATGCTGCCTGGTCCTGCTGATGCACAGGTGGGCTCCTGCCGGCTCCCACTCTCTGGAGCGAGCGCTCTCTTAGCTGTCCCAGCTAATGAGGAACAGACTTCCCTCCAGAACCGGGAAACTTCAGTTATGTGTCTCCAAGGAACACACTGCACCAACTCTCTGAAGATAATTCAGTCAAAGCTCATTAAAATGCTGCAGTTATTAATATTACAGTATAAACAGGCGGAGAGAAGAAGAAACAAAGACATTAAAATGTGTACAGAGTAATTTACGTACACTTTATGGATTGATTTCTTTCTCTTAAAAGGTTGCAGATAAATGAGAAGTTTGAATACAATTTAAATAACAAATACTTTTATTGGAGATAACAATTATCTTTCATAATAAATGGAATGTCTGAATGTTCCCCAATGGTACCGAGAGAGAACAGGCTTATGTACGTGTGAAGCTGCACTTGCCCCCTTTGCTCCCTCTACTTATAGGTAAAGCATCTAGATGGCCTGCTCTACGTCCAGATGCCATGTCACCTTGACATGGTTCCGCCATTAGTGATTCAGTTTCACACTGGAGTTTTTTTAGCACTTGGCACTCAATAGCCTTTGCTATTTTTACATCACTTTAAAATTCACTTCCATATCTTGAGTGGCAAGCAGTTTTAGCTTTATATCAGTTATAGAAATTGAATAACGTACAACAAATATATATCAGGGGTCATATCGTGCCTTTGACAAGCATCTATTAAGCATCCACTCTGTTTCTAGCTCTGAACCAGCCCTGACACACAATGATCACCAAGCCATTACCTATAAGGAACTCTGATAATGGTCCCTGCTATACTGCAAATATCACCTTTTCCATGGAAACTTCTCTCACAGTCACCCCACAGCAAACTGGGTTGCTCCCAGCTCTGATCTCCGACTTTGTATTGTTCTTACTGCTCTTATATCCCACATCTGGAAATTTCCATTCTACAGTCAGTCTGTATACTTCATTTAAGGGTCCTGATACAGGCACACCCAATTATGCATGCCTTTACTATCTCCCAAGAAAAGTGCCAAAGCCCAGTGGCAGAGGGCAGCAGGGAACGCCCTGCCTCCCAGTGTGGGCTAGGGGGAGCCAACCCCCTCCCACCCTCCTACACACCCAGTAGGAAACCACACTCCTTTATGCAGAGTCTCTCTTAATGCTCACATCAACCCTAATGCCATTTTGCAGATGAGAAAATACAAGTTCAGAGAAATGTAATTTGGTTGGGAAAAGTCCAAAAATACTTCATAGTGCAGGTGAATCTTAAGCAAGGTTTAGAAGGGGAGTGTTTGGCTAGCAGAAATGGATAGGTCCTTGTTGAGAAGATGGGATTTATCAGAGCTTCGAGTTTATTAGGAATTGTGTGTGGGGGCGAGCATGTATGCAAATAGTGGCAATCAGGAAATGTAAGATATGGGTGGATAAATGCAAAGATTGACTTGAAGATCAAGACCAGTACTTTTAGTTTTATTTCATTTCATTTTTCTTGTCCAGTACCTGGGAACCAACCTAGACTGTAGATACTAGGGGCAGAGTTGGAAGAAAGGATTTCTGGACAAACAATTGCTGAGGCTAAGTATGAAGCATTATAGCTCAGAAAGGCTGAGTGTGGGCAGCAGAGCCATTCCACACTAAATTTCCTAAAACTCAGCTCTCATGCCTTGTTTCCAACCATTATCTATAAACCTTACTATCATATATTAGAGAAAATTTAATTGATCATTCTTGAAATCTATTAGGTTATTAAGTATGAAATGTCTGATTTCCTTAAGTACTAAGTTTGACAGTTGATATAGCTGACATATCACTTTGACATTTCTTGTTTTATTTTTATTGTGAAGGTACCTCTTCAGTCTTCCAAATGAATATTTTGGCTTGTGATCATCTTTCAAATTTTTTGTGTAACAATTTTTGAAACCAAGGCTAAGTCAAAAATTCATGTTATCTTTGAATATGAGTTCCGTCATAGAACCAATGCAGTGCAGACAGCTCAAAATATCAACTGATTGCTTGGAAAAAAGCTAACGGCCTCTGGTTGGTGGTCTAGCACTGGTATTATCCATTACAGCTTCATGAAACCTGGCAATGGATTATAGCAGATATCTACTGCAACCAACCAACTGAAGAAAATTATGAGGATCCTTGTGATTAAGCAGCCGAGATTGGTCAATAGAGACAAACCAGGCCTCTTGCAAGACAATGCTGGACCACATGTTGCACAAAAAACAGTACTCAAACTACAGAAGCTGGACTTGGAAGCTCTGTCATCCACCATATTCACCAGACCTTGCACCAACTAACGACCACCACTTCTTCCAGGCTTTGGACCACTTCTCGAAGGGAAAAATATTCAATTCTCAACAAGATGCGGAAAATGCTACTCTCTCTCCGGGCTTCTTTGCTGCTGGCATACACAAGCTACTGTTATGATGGCAAAAATGTGTGGATAGTTCAGGCACATACTTCAATGAATTGTACTGCTTGTTTGAGATGGATAGGTCCCTTGATTCAAAATTAAACATTTCATATTTAATGACCTAATATATTCTCTGTCAACCACCCAATCCATCCCGATCTACCTCTATACACCAATGCTTTAGCAAGGCTGGGGTCTTTTTCCTGACTCCTAATGTCACTGGGCTCCCTATCTTGCCTTGTACACAGAAGTACAGGGTTCCTTCCTGCTTCCTACTTTGCATGGGGAACAGACTTGTCCCTGCACACCCCTCCAAAGCCTCCCCACTCCAGAGATAAAAATGCAGCTAAGCTCCCAGTACAAGCTTAAACAGATCTTCTTTATGGAACTTCCTTTGCAACCTCGAGGGTGCCCCTGACTACTGTGATGATGTCAGCATTATGCCTCCTGC